CCTTTTCGACAAATTCTGAAGGCTGCTCACATGTTTGTAACCTTATAATGCCTTTAAAGGCATTCACATATCTAATACAGTGGAACTTGAGACAAAAAAATTAAACGAAAAATATGTATTCATCAAAAAAGCAATCTAGTTAACCACCACTGATTGTAACCAGACCTATTAATTGGTTACTAGAATATAGGAAAAATAATTTCCTTGATTTTACTTTAATCACACTCACCAACAGGCGGTAAACAAACTGGCTTGATGATCCTCGAGAAGTTGACTGGTTTCCTTAACTTGAGTAGTGCGATATCATTGTTATAGGAGTCAGCGTCGAAGCTGCGATGACGGACGATGGTGTTGACCGCACGCATGATGGCGGCACTCTCGCTTGTTATTGTCTGATCGTGGTCGCCTAAGATCACTCGTATCTTGGACCTCTTTAATCTGAAATACGATATATTAGTGTTATCGCAATTCTGTCTTAATGTATGAATTCAACTTAGAGCAGTGTAAATACACGGTTAGAAAGTCACAACATATTTGTAGATTTAACAATTTTAAAGTGAAGCCAGGAATATTTTAAATAGCAACTATAACTGTAATAGTTAACAATATTTACTAAGCACATAAAACAAATAATAAGCGGTGACCACACTTGATCCCTTTCTCGAATTTGTTTATTCCCATTTGCTCATTGCGTTACCCATGTACCTACGAAGCTAGAGGCCTATGCTAAAAAATATATCAAAACGCTTATTTAACATCCATTGTAGAAGAATGTATGTTACATCATCATTACCGGAACGAATGTTACTTTCACAGAATGCATTACTAATACGATTAATAACTCAACTGAAATGCAACATCGCGTGTCCGCTGATGGAAAAATAAATATTAGTCAAGCAATAATCATCTGTGACGACCTGCAGACGTAACAGTTAATAGCCCATAATATTATACGAGTTTTTTTTTCGATGTTTTATGTAACACTAGCTGTTGCCCGCGGCTTCGTCCACGCAATATTAAGATGAAAAAGTAGCCTATATACCCGTCTATGTCAGCTACCCTTCAGTGAAAATCCGGTCATAATCGGCCCAGCCGTTTCTGAGATTACCCGGAACAAATTCGGCTTGCGAACAGACAAACAGACATACGAAAAAATGTTTAAATTCGATTTTCGTTATCAGCAACACAAATACATCATCTTCCCGAAATCTGGAATTTTTCGTTGGATATTACAAACAGACATTCCAATTTTATTATAGAATATACCTATATCACTACCAAGACTTAAAGAAACACAAGGTAAGGCAAACCCCAATGCGTGCTTTCCTGCATCTGCCTTCGCAAACAAGCACAGATAACCTAGAGCTTTAAATTTTGAATATCATAATAGTTACTTACTTCCTAACACAATGCGCAGCAGTGAGTACATAGTCCTTGGTCAGGAGAGACGCTCCGCAATGAAATTGACCGTCGTATACTATCCTTGCCATCCAAGGATAGCGATTAGCAGCCGCCGGAGACCCACCGACGATACGATTCTCTTGATTCGGTCCGTTACATTCTGTAACACGACATCGGTTATGTTACGTTACCTTAATAAGTTATCACAGATTGAATAGTGGCAGTCGCCAAGCGATGATCTAGGCTTCGTGTAGGGTAGAGAGCAGCTGCGATAAAAAATAGTCATTTTTGAAGTGGTTTCATATTTATTTACATTCTTAGAACATTTAGAACATGCCTCTAACTCCACCTCCTTGGCGACGCCCGTATGTTAGAGAGTGGACGTAGACAACATAGAGTTTCATAGACAATGCAATTGCAGACTATCGTTTAAAACGTAATCGTTATCGATCATTCATATTTATATTCGACCTCATACATATTTTACAGTTACAGGCTTTATTTATAGACATGATAGTCTGAACAAAACGTTATAACGGGAAATAACAATTTATTAGATAGGATAAGGGCTGGTTAGACTAGTAGAAGGTTAATTAAAACAAACAATATCAAGTAGGTACTCAATTAGTTAAGAACTAGTTAGTAGAGAAATGCGGACGTTCAGTTTCCTAACGAGACTAAAGTATCGATGTCAAAGCAGGTATGATGTACTTTATACTGCGAACAGGAAAACAACTTTCACCGTCTCTTAGTACATAAGTGTTATTAGAAGACTTTTAATCTAAGATTAAATATGCAAATGAAAGATTAATTTTAATCAACTTCCTTAAAGGCAACGGTTCCTTTAGAAATAATAACAAAATCTACTCGGAATATACACTTTGTTATACAAAAAAAAAACACTTAATGCTAAACTAATTAAGACAAAAAACAAACAGACAACAAAGAAATATAAAACAGATTAAAAAAATATTAAAGTTGAAAGAATATGTTAGTCCGGTTTGAATTCTTAAAGGTCACATTAGAAAGCAAATAATGGGAAAGATTTAGAAGCAGCCTAATAACATTTAATTTATGATTTTTAACAGCAAGATATTACGTAAAATACCACAAAAGGACAAAAAATCGCAGCTTGAAATTAATACGAACACAATGTTACATAACATATTACAAATACATATGTATATTTACAGTAAATAATAAAGTTTATTATAAACTACAATTGCTGTACAAATATCAACTTACCCATCTTTCTAGGAAGTGGGTTCGCTCTGCCGCACTCTAGAATATTAATGTGAATTGTGATTAATACATTTACACTAAAATTGTGACACTGTGAAACATTTTATTTATTATAAACACTATGAGTGACTATAACTAATATAAAACATTTGGAAGGTCTAAACAGTTTCAACGTAAGTGCTGTGATTCTTCTGTCTGAAAATAACTTAAGTTTATATTCTACATTTGTGACTTATAAAATTCGTTTACACGAAAAATTTATACATGAAATAAATAATGTTTAATTTGTGTATAAATGCATATTTAGTACCCTCTAATCGCGAGTTCCCAGTTACGAAACACATTTACATTGCTATAATATATTACTATCTCTATTTTTTTAGACAAAATGAGAAGGATGGCAACATGATTTTTTACAGGTAATACTTACCACAGGAACAGTCCTTTGTTTGTGAATCATCTTCCTCTTCTTCTTCGACGCTTTGTTCATCAAACAGAGGAACTTCTAATCCGAATATAGCATCGAAGAGAAAACGCGACGACCTATTTCCGTGTGACACCTGAAATGGTTTAAAAGACTAATGTAATGAAGCTAAAGAGATACACTAAAACCTTATTCGTAGCTACTTAAACTAACCTAACACGATTCCGAGTTTCGAGGGTAAAAAAGTTTTAAAAGATCTTACTAATTTAAACAATTAATTCCACATTTAATTACGTTCAAAATTCTCTCAATGTTCTTTAATTCAAAAAATTACTTTCTAGAATAATTCATTGAAATTCTTGTCAGTAACCACATTCGTGTATTTCTAAATTCTTTGCTCAAATGTTTCTTTTGTATTTTATTGATATATTTTTGCAGTCACATATGGGGTTTCGGTATTAACGAACTGTTTATACGAATTGATACTTTAAAAAAATTACTTCCTATAACTAAACAAAGTAAAAAGACAATGCATTACGCGGTAATCAATAACAAAGATAACCGGTTTGTCAGGTTTTTTTGTGTCAGTTATCAAAAATATATAAATATTACATAACAAAGTTAACCAAGCTAGTGATCTTCCGCTGGAAATAACCTTATGCAACATTTGTTTACCATTTTAAATTAACTGCCATTTTACTTTCGCGGTTACGCGGTGTAGCGACGCTAGCGCCATGCGCAGTTGAGTCATTAGGGTTGTCCCACCAAAAAAAGACTACAAAAAATATCACATTTTACAAAAATGTTTTTATCTTTATTAATTTTGGAAGGTAAAACCTTGTAAAAAAATTACATGGTATATAGTTACATCTCCAAACTTATTCTTTGATGGATTAAAGGCAAAATAAAAGAATATAAACGGTTTTAAATACCATTAAATACGACGGATTTTGTAGCCCTCATCAAAATGTTAGTGTGTTAGTTTACGCAACAAACGCGAAGTTCATTGGTCAGTAATGTCAATGGTACTTTCACAATGGTAGGAAATTCCATTGTTCTCTATACTTTTAAGTCTATTAGCATTTAAGATGAGAGAATAACTCAGTATCAGTTATTATCAAATACTATTGCCAATTCATTAATTTTAAATTTGCTTGTCAGGTATTACTTGATTTTTAAAGGCAATGTAATCAAGATCGTCATCGTCATAAGTGAAAAAAACACAGATAAGGCGCGTCTTCGTTCCAGCTAATTGTCTACGTGGTCGAATGTATACCACATGCACTTTCCCTTTGCCGTTTCACGTAACCGATGTGACGAAACCGATCACGCTTGACTCCGATATACAAATTCGGCAGCATTAAATAACACGTTATGAAATCAATAAAAGAGGCTAAGGTTGCATTAGAAGTTTGATAAGTTTTAGAAAATATTTAAATTTATATAGGTAATATAATTAAAATTTAAAACAAAATTTGGTCATCTAAAATTGTGTGTAATGGTTGTTTTTTATTGCGTTTTAACTTGTTATTTACATTATTTTATACAGTTCAATTGAAAAAAAAAAAGCCAGACTGGTATCATACTCAATGCCAGACAATTATTAACACGAATAAAAATCTAGGTTGCCAACAATAAAAAAGAAAACGAAAAAATACAATTTATGCAGAACTCATCCTAATTTGACAGGTTGTACCGTGACCTAGTTTGTCGACAATTGATTTCGTAAGTGACAACATTAACAATCACTTTAATGTTGCTTGAAGTTCAATATCAGGTCACGGGCTTAAATTAAATTAGAATAGTTCATTATTTTAAGTGGATTAACAGACTTTTAGTTGTTTTTTGTAATTGGCATGAAAGATTAAGCTGAATCTAATGTCCGAGACGAAATAATTGTAATTGTTTGACGGCCTTCTGAAACGGATGTAGTTAATTTACAATCAAATTTACAGGTTTAATTAACGCTAAATTAAGGTACAACAACGATCCTGTTATCTTTATTATAATCGAAGAACATTGGTATTGCTAATTTTTCTAAGATACAAATGACATTTCGAAAAAATCTACTTTATTAAAATCTTGCAGTTTTATTGTGCAAAACCACTAGCAAAGTTTTTAATTATAGCTTTTCTAGAAACCGATTTAGCAAAGAAAAACCCAATGAAATTAGAAAATAAAAGATGATCTAGATTACCTTTTTATAAGATTGTAAAACTAACACTTTACGCTTCATTGGATCTATTTTCCCTCGCCCGTCATTATCTAACCTCAAAATTCGTAAGGTCAATAACTAAACTACTTTCCAATGAGTAATTGTAAAACGCCTTTCACAAGGTAATTGTTCTGGCACTCTCGTTTTTGCTATCCGTTGTACAATAAACGCAAAAAGAAACTGATTCCGATTCTAATGCGGTAACAAGGAATTTTACTTCGAATATTAGCATATTTAATACTTTCGCCTTTATATTCCGTTGTCTAGCTGAAGTAGAAAAAAAGACTTCATAAATAATTTAAAAAACTTTAACTCAAAATATTGATAAGCATCAGTGAACAAATCTGATGCAACAATTCTACAAAACCTCATATCTCCTCTTGATATTATATTCATAAAAAGCCACATAATTGTATCGTTAAAACGAGGCAAAACCAATCAATCAAATGGTGCACGAATAAGCATAGAGTTGCGTGTTTCGTTCCATGCAGCCGACGCGGACGTATCACAAACTATCGGAACCGGATACAAGTATTACATAAATACGAAAAATTCCAAATTCAAGTGTGTGTCAATTAAATGCAACAGGGACGTGTTACGTATTTTATTGCACTTCGATAAACCGTGTTACGAAATGTAATAAAATTCTACAATTGGTTACGTCGTATAGATCTATTTCTGGTGTTTACAAGCTTTATTAATAAAAATTATAAGACATACAAAAAAGAACCCTCATGTAAGCCAATTACTATACGATAAATGATTACTGAACTAACAGCATCGTTAAAATTATAATTCAATATGTTTCTAGATATTTTTAAAAAGAGTTAGGCTGCGTTTGAGAAATTCTTCAATTTAAGGTTAACTATGGCTTAAAGCATGTTCATTCAAAAAAGTTAAAGAATTACCACGATTATTAGTAACGCCTAAGAATACATTCGTATAATTAAACTAACAAAAAAGAACATACGCAAATAGAGCAAATATTGAGCCTCGAATTATTTACGCAATTATATTCGTAACAGGCGAAAGCAGTGCATCCGGCTCCACAATTATGATGCTTTCGTATCATTATTTACCAATTTATGTTATTTGGTAACTAACAATACTGAGACATTGAGTTGAAAGTGAACGTTACCACGAGGAACTGCACGGCTTGATATTTATCTGACACGCTTTAGCAATTTCGTCGTTGTATGCAAACTTTTCCCACGTGTTTGACAAATTATCTTTTAGAATTGGACCTCTAACACTATCGTTAAAGTTAATGGACTTGGATGGATGCAAAACTTTATATAAAAAAAAGAAAGACCATTGGTAAGTTTACTCAACAAATGTTTAAATATGCAGGTACGGTATGGTAGAGCCCGCTTTAACATCTTCGCACAAATGGGCCGGCTCACCCGGTGTAATACCACGACCACACAGAAAACAGGCGTAAAGTGGAAGCAATTCCGCGTTTCGTCTGATGAGTGTGGTGTCGGAGGCCTAATTTTAGTGCCTTTTCCTTTCCTTCCTTTTCTTAAGAGGAAAGGATGGAAAAGAAAAGTGGATTTGACGGCGGAGAAGACGCATGTAAAGGGGAAATGTCGTCTTTATGTGCGTCTCCTCCTCCGTCAATTAAGGGTAGGCAACGCATCTGCAATTGCGGATGTATATGGGCAGCCGTCGCTTTCCATTTCGGTGGATTCAGATGGCCACTTGCTCGTTTGCCACCTTATATTATAAAAAAAAAATTTAAGATACTCGTATTTTGATAACACATTTCAGGCCGTATGTGTAAATTGTATTTATACAAATGTATTTAATCTTTATACGTGCGGTTTAAACGATACTACAGATCTATAATATTCTCAATTTTAAAGGTTCTTAGATAGTAATATTTGAAGCGTCAATCTAGCGGTTTGAATTACGCCATTCATTCGTTATCCATATCCTAGACTATTTTTAAGTGTATTTAGAATAGTTAAAAAAATGTAATATACAATATAATCTTACGTACGAGCAGTATTAGAGATGATGGTAGGTATAAAGAAGTGCAATTCTAATGATTGTCTCAGGTCGATGTCTCGCGCGAACTCGCACGCATCTGCACAGCGTATCCGCGGAAAGTAAAAGCGAACGCTATACCGAGTCAATGCACTGATCTAACGTAAACATTATTGCTTGTTTAAATTACAAAGTGATGAAGTAAATGAATGTGATTTAACTCAAACACAGACAAAATTAGACATTAATTAGATAGCTGAAAAGTACGATTGCTTTCTTCGACCGACGACAACTGATGACTTTTGATTTAAAGTATTTAAACATAGGTACTAAGCATACGTTAGGTTAAGTTCATGTAATCTAAAAGTGAATTTGAACCCAAGATTGATCTTCCGGTTTCATTAACCTGATCCATTGGGGTTCACTAAGATGTACCTATTATTAGTAGTCGTTTGTTATCTTTGATGTTACTAATGCAATTATGCTGTTTTAACGCAGATTAATTAATCGCAGATTTAACTGACTTTAAGTATACTTTATGATAACTTACATGATTGTCGATGGTCTGCTCTGGGGAAGAAATCTGCCTGCCGCGGACGGTAGCAACAAGCAGCACTTGTAACACCACCAATCTCCATCGGCACATGGTCGCGAGGGAACCTATCACGATGTCTTTGCTACGGCACTATTTATTTGTCCGTCATCCCGCGACTGCCGCGGTCACTATTGTTGAATTCGTCAGCCAGCTGATGGCATTTCGCAAACTGCGGGCCGACTAGCGGCCGCGGCCGAGCGGTATCTGACTCGTAGCGAAGACTTCGGCCACCACCACATACTTTCACTACAAAAAAAATCTATACGGATCCCTCCAGCCCCACTACAAAGTAAATGTCGCAACACTTATATAGCCATTGATACATTATTAATCTAACAATGGTTTTATGTTGAACGACATAATAGTCAATCTTTTTGGATCCTTTTGTGTCTCTCTTGAAGCAGTGTTTCTTATAATAATCTTTTTTTCAACTGTTTCATAGATTTTGGCGCGAGTTTGTTCCATTTTGCATATTCAATCAATATAGTATAGATACAAAACTTGCTCTATGATGTAACGGAATGCTAAAACAGTGTGCATGTGTAGAGGATATTAATCTTTACGAATCGCGCTTCTTGTTGATTTTCAAACAATTATTCTTTTATCGTACCAATTACGATTTGTTAAATAATTACTTTTTACTTTTATTTGTTATAAGACATTTATATTAATTCACCTTTTAACTGCCACCGCTGTTATTTAGTAGTTTCATTTCACTATCTTCAGTGTCATAGTGTTATAGATTTTTATGCACGAAGAAACTATCGTTGCTATTTCTTTTAATAGTAGTGCAGTGATTATAAATCTCTTATTTTCTCTCGAAGTCGGTAATGTGATCATCTATCAAACTGCAAGTGTTGCAAATTTTAATAATTTTAATATGAAACATAGATTACCTACCTTAAAACCAATTCCAATATTATGTAAAAACTAATTTAAAGCTTTGATCATAATTTGCATATGTTTTTTTTAATGTAATTCCATGAGTCTGTGACATTTGTGATGTAATATGAAACATGCAAAGGACAGAGTGGAAGCGAACGTATCTGGAAATCACCGGATTCTCCATACTGATAAAACGAAAGTGAAATCATGAGAGCGCCGTGCAACGTTTCCGCAAGTCTCGACGACCGTTCGGCTCGAGACATGTAATGGTGCCGTTTATTATCAACTTCCAACATTCTTATGATGGGATGAATATTTCGTAACTACATCCGTTTTCATATTTTTTATCGCAAATATTTTATAATCAGTTAGTATATTTTTAATACATACATAGAAAATAGCCAAAAGCGCAAAAGGTGCTACAACCGCTAGTGGCTACTTGCTTTTCTATGCACATCTGAATATTGTTACAACGTTAAAATCTGCTTTAAATAACCTAAACTGCACATTAGAAATTATTAGAAGTGTGTGTCAACCTACGTCTCTTATACGTACTTACATTAAGATGCACGTTTCGTGCAGAAAATGCCTTAGATCCATGTTTAAATATTGAAAGGTCGCCTAAGATTTAACATTATAATTATTGTTCAAATATAAATACTGTATGTTAGTTATTGGGTCGCTAATTCTTAAGTCTATAGGTTCTCGTTTCGATCCAGCGCCAAAACAAACGATTTTGTATAATCTAAGCGCCTGATACATTGATCCATTTTTCCATCAGAAAAGTTTTAGCTATTTTATTTTTTTAGTAGCGTGGCCCACGGTTGCTGCTATATTTCTGTGTTATTGAATTTCTATTAGCTTCTGTGCACTCATATTATCAATATAGTAATATTAGAGTGACGAGTAAAAATGGCGGGTGTACCACAGCGAATTAAATTATACCACTTACTAAAAAAATGTACTTATTAGTACCTCGCTCAAAAAAAATTGTACCCTCTCTAGAACGTAATTATAACGAAATTAGGTTACCCCCGCCATATTAACTCTCACATATTAGATATTCCGTATCAAACAAGAGTACTCGGTCCTACATTTGAAGCAAAATAATGCGTAGTAAGGCCTAAGCAGTAACCCTAGCAGTGCAATGTTTCAAATAAGCAGATACATTTTCACAGTACAGGAGAAAGTAGTATAAGAGATATTATCTCCATAATTTAAGCATGAAAAGTAAAAAACTAATTCTACATATAGGTAACTGTTAATCGTGACTAACAGAGCTAACGGTAGTTACTGAGCGTAACGGTACACCCTTAGAATGAAACCGGAACCTTTAGAGGTTCCGGTTGAATTTTTTATCTACAACCTAAAATAGTAATCTCTAGTGTTTTAATATTATAAGAAGCATTTTTACTCCATTATTTTTTATCTCTGGTAATACCGTAGCGTTAACTTTTTTCAAGCGTACGGAACAATTATTGAAACGAACTGTACATAAAATACTTCTAGAGGTTCGTCTATCGAATTCGCATTAATTAAGTTCATCACAACGAATTTCATACCAATTCTATCAGCATTTCCTACAAATTTAATTGGGAATAAAATAAAAACGCACATATTTTCGAAGATATTTATTTGTAGAAAGATATTTTATAAAAAAAAATTGTATTAAAATATGCCTTATAATTAAACTTACCTTAGCTGAAAGTTACTTGGCAATCAAGTGAGACTCCAGTCACCACGATACCATCATGAAAATAAAATTGAAAAAATATTAGAACAAAACGAAAATAACAAAAACATTTAGAAATGTACGTAAAACTGTGATATCCTTAGACTGCAAATAAATGTATGATTTGATTGATTGATGATTTTATTCATTTATTTACGTACTAGCTTTTGCACGCGACCTTATACGCGTAGTATTGAAACACTAAGAATGTAACCTATTCTTCGTGATAATATCCTACATCTGTACCAAATTTCATGAAGATGTTGAATACGACATACCTATAATCTATCCATTTCAGTTTTCATTTATAATCAAATGAGGAAAGTACTAATGAGATCAAAATTGAAACAATTGAACATTCCTAAAGTATTACCTAAATAAAAAAGTTGATTGAAAATGCAAAATGGTTTATTACTAATAAAAGATTCTAATACTGGCAACATTGAATACAGTGATATCTGAAACTTTTTGGTTAATCTTCGTTTCGCCAATTATTTTAGTCTTTATTTTAGATTAGACTACGAATTAATTAATTTTAGAAAGTTAAAAATAATCTTATCTTGTGTCATTAATATCAAAGAAAATAACATCTTTTTATTTAGTAACTAGCTGTTCTTGTGAGATTAAAAATTGTAAAAAAACGTAGCCTATATTAAGCAGTGTTTGCGTAGCTTTTTTAAGCTGCAAGAATTTTGGTAACCGGCCCAGTGGTTAGTGAGTTATTTCAATACGTACAAAAATACAAAACATTTTATGTAGATTTGACAATTAAATGAGATGACAGTGACATAACAAAACAAACGTCATTGCTCGAGCTCACTCGAGATACTCATGCCATGCATGTATGACATGGGAAATTAATTAATTAATCTAACTCTCTTTGGTACTATAAAAAAAAATGTATGTACTGGTACCAAAACTAACCCCAACACATATGCAAAATAGACATGGACAATCAACACCACCTCCGTAATACATCAATTTCCATGAATTACTTTAAAATTTTGTATTTATGTTTTATGTATTTAACTAAAAAAAAAGATATAAAATAATGGACTTAAACGTTTATGCATTTGAAATATTAGTGCAAAAATAAAAATATGTATTCCTAGTGTACGAATCTAAGTCTTCTTCAAGCATGTTGAATGTATGCTATGTTCTGGAATTCCTAGTCTATTACAATGTTACTAGCCCTAGAATTAGAAGTTTACTTTGAACTGTATACCGATTATGTACTACTGTATTTAGGTGAGAACAGTTAGCGATTCGCAATTCGCAAGTAATTCGGTTGCCCTGAATCGTAACCTTCAAATAGGGAGGCAGTCCCACTTTCGTCTACCGTGACGCATTTTTATACATAAAATAAATTACCTATGTACTTACTATTTAGTCTGCCAGCGATGATTCCTTGATACAACCTATTTCATTGTGAAAGTAACATCGGAACGATACATTTTAATAGTACTGAGTTGTAGGAATAAAATCCACGTAATTTCTGTGCAATTGTATTCTATTTTTATAGCAAGGGTTTTTGCGAGCCGTTTGGATAGGGAAAGTAGGTAAATAAGAAAGTCTATTACATTTTAGAAGCCCAAGTGACTAACCGATGGTAATTTGAAAAAAATGTGACTTCTGTGTTACAAATTCGTATTAACACTTCTCTTTTAAAAGGTAATTTCTCATATCAAATTAAGGTATTTGAGATTCAGAACCTATAAACTGCATAATGAGAATCCTAATTTTTACGTTTTTAATTTACACTAGCCCAATTAACCGTAAGGACGCGACAAACGAAACCATTAACGTGAGATTCAATCACAGCTGCATTTTCCAATCAAGCTCAAATTTCATAGTTCCACCTGAATGGAAATTGTAATTTAACATGGAAGTCACAATTTTTACGTATATCTCATTTCATGAAGGACATACACTATACTTAACTTCATTTGAAAACAAAAAAACTGCATCACGACAAAACATGCAGCTATGAAATAAAATAAAAAGGTATATGTACAAATCTAAAGAAACAACCCTACAACTTTTGTATTAAATTTTTATTTATACATTTAATTATCCTATAAGTCATAACTGGACTATACCTAAAAATTTCAAATAACATCTATTTGAGAACTTAATACTGAATAAGTCAGAAATTAAAAGTAAATCATGATCCATTTTCTTATTAATTCAACTTAATGTTCATTTCATTAACCTAGCATCGTTTAAGGGACTTAAATCATTACATATCAATATCCTATATTGTACTTATCTGTATAAAATGTTTTCACAATCTATGTAGAACCTTAAAAATATGTCACGTCGAGTACCTAAAGTACAATAAATAGAAGACCAAATTACATGAGTACATATTCTATAAATAATCTATTCATATTTGTCTAAGGGTTTCCTGAGGGCTTCTCCTAGGTGGTCTCGAGTAGACCAGAGTTGTAACTAGTGCTCCGGAGCGCCTGCCTACACTAGCCGACACGGAATACTGCTCTACTAGTGTACTTAGCACCAAACCTAGAGATTGAGAAAAATTTATCAGTCATATACCAAATTAATAAACCTTCATAGCATTAATCAACTACCAAGTACAAGTAATCATCTTCCTAAAAAGGCTCCTAATGACAATTAATGCTATGTAGTAGACAACCTAAAATTAACTAAGAAATCAGTACTGTATAGATAAGTAACATGAATAAGTCAACCCTTTTATAAATTGTGCTCTAACAAGTGCAATGTATATTACCCTATAAAAAGGTTGGTGAGTGAATGTATGTTTATGTAGATTTGTGATATAAAAATGTATACTTACACACTTTAGTATCTGCCACCTCTTCCTTGTCCCCCGCCGTAGTTACCACCGCTGCCATAACCACCCCCACCTCCCCCTTGGTTCATATTGTATGGTGCAGCTCTGTTGTTGCTATACTGCTGGTTCCTGGTGGGGCCACCACTATAGCTCTGTTGGCCATAGTTGCCAAAATCTTGGTTGCCACCCCAACCACCACCACCACCTCTTTGGTTACCACCACCATATCCACCACTCCCCTGACTACCTCCCCAACCTCCCTGATTGTTATCCCACGGATTGGAATTGTTCCAACCGCCTCCTTGGTTTCCTCCATAACCACCTCCTGTGCAAAAATTAAAAATCTTATTTGGTTAACAAGATTTTAAATACACAAATAAATGATAATAATCATACCAGAATTACCCCAGTTATCATTTCTTCTCTGTCCTTGTCTACCACCGCTACCGCCGCGCTGGTCAGAGCCATCTTTAGGTAACGCTTTTTTAACATCTAACTGTTTACCATTAATTTTATGAGGGGCATTCACTGTAACAAACATGAACAGCTATATTTAAATTGAAAAAGAAAAAATAATCATTGATATTAGTTAATAACAAAAATGTATATTGATTTGCGTACCAGATCTAACCTGTTAAATAGTAGCCTGGTATAGCTTTAATCAATAATTTAATCTCCACAGTTAGAGAAGCCAAACCTGGACATAGATATTCCATTTTGGGGCAAAACTGTGGCAGCTTACTTATATTTTTTAACTAAAATTGAAAACTGTATAAAAAATACTTACAGCAAACTTTGTCAACTGGGTCATAGTCATCAAATTCAACAAAGCCAAAACCACGCTTCTTTCCAGTAGCTTTATCTGTGACAATGCTAACATTCTGTACATTTCCATAATTAGAGAAATATTCTCGCATTTGATCTTCAGTATGGTCATCTTTAATACCGCCGATAAAAAGTTTTCTTACAGTTGCGCCTGCCTCAGGATTTTTGATATCCTGCCTAGCTACGGCACGTTTGGTTTCCACCACTCTAAAATAAAACAAATTATTGTAAAACACAATTCGCAGATTGGTATACACGTTGTCATAAAAATTTAGGTCATGTCGAGCCCACAGAAAATGCCACGTGTACAGTTCCACGAAACATTCACCAAGCAGGGTCTTTTAGTTTATGCAGTGTAAAACGATACGAAAGAAACTATTTAAACTTTCATATAGCTGGACTGCAATAAATCTGTTTAAAAGAAAGAAAGGAAAAAACAAAATAATAATATCTTACCGTGAATCAATTGTATGTGGCCTATTGTTCTGCGCATCGTCAACCATGTGGGCTTTGGAGTATGTAATAAAGCCGAAACCACGAGACCTCTTGGTCTTCGTGTCCTTCATAACGACTACGTCCACAATTTCTCCCCATTTCTCGAAATGTGCTTTTAAAGATTCATCGGTCGTTCTATAATTAAGACCCCCGATAAAGATTTTACGATGAACTTCGGGTTCCTCCTGCAATTTGGCGACCATTACAATCAACAACAAAATGGCGGCGGATGGCGTTGGTAGAGATGCTATCGTTAAAATTACTGAAACTTTACTTGTTTAAGACCTACAGTTGTTAATTTAAGTACATAATGAACTAAAGCTAAAACAATTAGGCGTGAAAACATGAAATAAAAGTGGAATCAATGTGAATTCACAGCAACAAAAATGGCTGAGTCATCGCCGGTAACAAAGTAATATACTCACAAAACCATCATCTCCGTTTTGCTGCGGCCTCATTACGAAAAGCTTGTTGAACGATTAAGCGAATTAAAAAGTACACCAAGAAAAATAACTTTTTAGCGCAAACTAGAACAATCTCTAATTTTAATCTACGCACACTACCGTTGCTAACCGACGCCACGCTAAAAAGAAATAAAGTGAGAACAAGCGAGAAGACAATGCTGCGCTGGCATCTGGCTTCCTGTGCAGTGTTACCAGATTTAAATTTATACATTCTACTAATTACTGCTAATTACTCGCCTAAATTCTACGTAATTGCCAATAGCTTGCATCCAAGTTATGTATGGTATAATTCATATAATGCCAGTATATTTGGAGAGATGCGCTGTCCAGCCGTGGCCTTTATTTGCTCATTAGCATTGGCGTCAGTTAGCGTCTATAAAACAAACCTTAACCGCCAAAGCTGATGAGCTATACTTATTATTTACGCCATCAATGTAAAATAAAGAAAACTCAAAAGCTAAAACATTTTTTTATCAAACAGTAAACTTTTAGGTTTATGTGAAGCCTTTAAAAAATGTTGGAGATCTAATTTCTGCTGAATGTGTAGGTCATATCCAGATCTGGTCATACCTAGTCATACCGTTCGATTTCTCTTTGCTGGACAATATTTATTGGCAACTCCAAACGAGTCGAGTTGAAATGTTTTAAAAAATCGATTCCAGTCTCGTTTTGTGCTTTACAATATTTGAACCTGAGATTTTAAATTTAAACTTACGCCAATGTAGTAAAAAAACAAGTTAAATGCTTCGTCATTTTTTTTGAGAATATTGTGGTAATGAAATGAAAAATTATAGGTTTTCCTAAGAACTAGTTCTCGATTCAAGATTTTATTACCTGTATCGACCGAAAACCAATTGTACAGATTAAGCAATAAATAAAATTGATGTTTTTATTTACCTATTGTCAATTTTTCTCTTCTTAATTCCTGTCCGTCAATAAAACGATTTCTAATTACAGTTTTGTGTAAAATATTTTATTGATATCGATGAAAAAGATATTAAATTTACTCACCGGCATTAAGTAATTAAGTTTATAACTTAATCCATATAGTTAAAAATGAAGCAAAGTAGTAGTGGTGGTGGAGGTGACGAATATGTAAGTAAAAACATTTTTAAAACTTAGGAGGATGATAATCAACCGAGCCTAGACACGTCTGAAAGTCTGGATGTTCAGATATTTATGTCAGCGCGATCCCTAAATCTGTTGTTTATTGTGGACTATCTTACTACCATAATATGTCAGGCGCCACTGCCGTAGTATATTATTTCTACATAATTCTCTCTAAGATATGCTTATGATCAAAGTAATGAAATTTGGCGATATTGGAGAATAAAAGTAAATAATGGTTTTGTTTTTATTTCAGGAAGAACCCGAGCACTTAAGAAAGTTGTTTATTGGTGGCTTAGATTATCGCACTACTGATGAATCACTTAAGGAATTTTATGAGCAATGGGGTGAAATTGTTGATGTAGTTGTTATGAAAGACCCTCAAACAAAACGGTCTAGAGGATTTGGATTTATAACCTATTCAAAAGCCAATATGGTTGATGATGCTCAGAATAACAGACCTCACAAAATAGACGGCAGGTCAGTATTTTAGACCAGGATGAAAATATTTTACATATTTTCATTTTACTAAACCAGATGTTTAATGAATACTACTCTTGTACTACAAAGAGTGTTAATAGGAGAGTTAATATTCATGTTTAATTTTTCAGAATTGTTGAACCTAAAAGAGCTGTGCCCCGGGAAGAGATAAAAAGACCTGATGCAAGTGCGACTGTCAAAAAGTTGTTTGTGGGTAATTTGAAACAGGACATTGAGGAGGAGGATCTCAGAGAACATTTTTCTTCATATGGCAACATTGTCTCAGTAAGCATAGTTACTGAAAAAAGTACAGGCCAAAAAAGGGGATTTGGTTTTATTGAATTTGATGATTATGATCCTGTTGATAGGATATGCTGTAAGTTTACTATTTTTTTTTTTATTAAAAAAGCAACAAAAACATGCAGTTCTAAAACTATGCAATGAGCTATTACTGGAAAACACTTTGACTTGTAATCTGTGGGTGCTGGATCCAAACCTCACTATGTAACAAGATGTTTTTATTTTTAACATTCATAAGTACATTTACACAGCATTTTTATGGTGAAGGAAAATGTTGTAATGCAACCTGCACATAACAAAGAAATTCAAAGTTTTGTGTGACATTCACCAATCCACATTGGGCCAGCGTGGTTAACTAAGGCCCAGTTATCCTAGCTCCAGGCCCTTCAGTGGTGACTAGTGAGCTGGTTATGATAATGTATTTGTATGTTTTACAGTGGATCAGGATCATAAAGTCAATGGTCGACTTCTAGACGTTAAGAAAGCATTGTCCAAGTCTGAAATGTCCGGAGGCAATCGTCGTGGCGGCAGATTTGGAGGTCGGGGAGGGCGAGGTGGTTGGAGTAATCGCCAAGATTGGGGTAATGGTTTTAATTATTTTTACTAAAAATGTCTTGTTCTGTCCTAAGGTATACTTAATATTGGCACATTTACTTGTAAAGCTATTTTAATTAATTTAATAATAACCATATTACAATGTATGCAATTTGAGAAACATTTTATACATTTATTTTCAAGTAAAAACTAAATTGAATACTAAAATAAATTCACATTTGCTTATTTTGAAACATGTGATTTATCTTGGTAATTTTTTTTCTGTAGGTTGACATATTTATTTGTAATTCCAGGAGGGGGGTATAATTCAGGCTACGGAGAGCCCAGTGGTTGGGACAATCAGAGTCCTTGGGAGTCAAATAACTCTCAAGAGTCATGGGACAATCAGGACTATGATGATCAGAACTGGTCGCAGGATAACTTTGGTGATGGATATCAACAAGGGTTCAGCGGAGGCCCTATGAGATCTAACTATAACTCACAAAGGCAACAGCCTTATAATACAGGTAACTTACAAGTTTAACATTGTAACAGGTAACAAAAAATATTTTTTTTAAACAAGGCAAATCATACTTAGGTTCTAATCTTGTCACAACAGCCTATTAACTGACGCTTTTTTTTTAATATCATAATGTGGAAAACGAGCAAATCCAAGGCCACCTGGATTCGTAGAAATGGCGAAGAGACCGTTGCTTATATGCCGAAACTGATTTCACCGACAGAGATGCATGCTATGCTATTCTATGCATGCTTCATTAACCCTTTATTGTATCTACCCTTTAATCTATGTTTGATGAATGAATGAAATGAATAAAGAAATAGATGTATGTCTATGTCTCAATCTAGTTTAGAGAAAAATACGTATGATTTTGATTTTATTGTGTTGGTAACATAATATTTCATTGCTCCAAAAAAATCTGTCTAATTAAGGGCTAAATCCACTCTGATCCTTGGATGAAAAAGTGTGGAAAGGGATAAAAGGACTAAAATTAGATAGCCGTATATTTATTTGCAGGTGCTGGTGCTAGTGGTGGTGGTAGTAGTGGGGGTGGTGGCGGTGGCAATGGTGGGGGAGGCAGTGGTGGTCAGAACTACACCACAGCATCCGGTGGCAACCAACGCCGATACTAAATCTCTCCGATGTCTTGTGAGTAATATATGCACTTAATTTAAATGTTCTCATATAAATGTATCATACATTTTACAATGAAGTTGTACAGGATAAAATTAAGTTTTACAGGAAAAATGTTAACTTTTAGGTAGATTTTTAATTTTACAAGTTTTTGTATTTCATTAAATTGTGTTTCAAATTTAACAATGAGAAAAAAAGGGTATTTTAGTTTTTGAAATATTACCCAACTGATTATCGAATAAAATCAATTACATTTTGTTACATTACAATCTAATAAGTTTAAAGGAGATTTATATCAAAATATTGCATTTTTAATCAACAATCAAAATAACAGGAAAAAAAAGTAACATTATGATAGTTTAATGGCGACACTGTATAGCGTACCGTTTCATTACACTTAAAATTACGAATTATTAATTAATACATTGCATTCGTATTAATTTTATATACTTCAATACTAATATTATAAATAGGAATGATTTAAAATTTTGCATTTTTGTATTGATTTAAATAACTCAAAAACTACTGGGTCGAATTCAAGAATTTTCACACCATTAAAAAGTTACGTTATAGCCTCATAAGATAGGCTAATTTTTTTTTTAATTTTATAGGGACGAAGCGAGCAAAAGCTAGTCTATAAAAATAATAGGAATTCAACAATGGTGTATCAAATGTAACGCTAAAAAATTGTCGTCAAAGTAAGACTGATGTAAATATGTTTAATGCTTAGGTGCGAAGTTATTAGAAGCTAGGCAGGCGTAAGTTAGGCAGGCTGGCTGCCTCGAGCCACGGGACAGGACCTCCTTACATTATATATTGCATTTATATCATAAAACTAAATAAGGTTTGCTCACAACAAGGTACTGTGCAGGCAAAAGATATTTTCTTTATAATATTATATATAGCACTTTCACATTTTTATAATGGTATTCAAATTGTGTGACACACATTCACTGCCATATTTTTTCTATGAGGCTTATTGGTGTTTTAGTTGTAAGTTTTTTTTTAATTCAGGTTATTCCAAAAATTTATGCTATCAAAATGGTATTGTTCAATATGAGATTAAAGTTGACATATCTTTATTTTAATGATCGGTGACATTCCAAAAATTATTCATATTGAAAAAAAGGTTGTTTTAAGTTTAATATAAAAAATACAAGTGTTTTTACATATATTAATATAGCATTTTTATTAGAATTAAGAATACTGTCCTGTTATCTATGTTAGATGTTTATGTTTACATATGAAGATATATAGATAGACTTTTGGAATTGAGATTTTTAATGTACAGAAATATTTGGGTAATCTAAGAAATCATAAGTTACTTTAATCTTGAGTCTATGGTCAATACTTTGACCTTGAATCTATGGCCGTTATATCACAATATAGTGAAGTGACACCAAAGAAATAATGGAATTTAATATGCACATAATTAACCCTTAATTCGATACTGTCCGGTGTGACGAATGACAAAAAAAAAACTATTTTATTCATAATTAACCCTTAATTCGATACTGTCCGGTGTGACGAACGACTAAAAAAAATCTATTTTATTCATAATTAACCCTTAATTCGATACTGTCCGGTGTGACGAACGACTAAAAAAAATCTGTTTTATTCATATCATCACATTCATATTTCATAGACAAAAATATAACTACTATTTTTTTTCGCTACTAAAGACTCGAGTCTATCTATATATTGTCTTTGATTTTTGTTTTTTTTATTTGAAGTGCTTTAAAAGTTTGGTTACACTATATAAATATAAATGTGTTATGGGACTAGTATTTTTAGTTAAAAACTTTATAAATGTATAGAAATGAATAGTTCCTGTTTGTGTGCAATATAAAAATTAAATGAAAACTGTTTTCCATGGACATTTGTACGCGGTGGGCAAGTCTCTGTGGAACAGGTCATGGTAAGTTTACTTTGCTGAATAAAAAATATAAAAAAAACTTCAATGTTTTATTTCCATACTTATCCAACTACTTATATGTACTGACTAGATTATATACATTATCATACATAATGTTAGTTTAAGATATTCTTATTAATATTTAAGGTTAAATGTATTAAACTAGCGCGTACCATCCTTCGACCACATCTTCACCTTGGTCTAGGTGGGATAGTGGTCAAGCGCTGGTTTTTTTCAATTTAAAAAAAAAAAAAAAAAAAATTTCTAAAAGGATTAATTTATATTTACATAATTAAAGCATGTCATAAATGTATTTAAAATCTTACTAATTCTTCAATAATACAGTGATTGAATAAAAGTGAACAATCCAAAACAAAGTTTTCGTCTATGTAATGCCAGTAATCTTGTAATGAAAGCTACAAACGACTACTATTTTAACGACAATAATTTTAAAACACGAAACATGAAGTAAAGTATCTAACGGCCGACTACTGAAACGATAATTAAAACTTTGATTCGTAAGCGCAGTTTACAATCAACGTTAAATTTTGACTGAAATTTTAAGGCATTTTATCTCCCCTACCTTAACCTAATCCCATAGAGTCGGCGCACCGGGTTTTCGTCCCCCAAATAACTCTATCATCCGTCAACTTGGTCATCACTCCCTACTTGATCTAATCACCTTTCACACAATCGTCAAATTTAAGCGTCAATAGCCTAATGGTTAGGAGTACAGATTTCCGATCACATGGCGACGGTTCGAATCCGGCCATTTGACTATTGTAAACTATATCTTACCAAAGAGATCTTAGTAAATTAACAAAATCTACTAATATTAAAAGAAAAAAACCATCCGTGTCATTAGGTCTACGTCTACCGGCGTATCCTCCACAGTCATCTTAGGGGACCATATCATTTAAATAACTTTAGGACGTCGTTACACATTTAAATGTTGTTCCAGTATTCGACCGTTATTTTATAGAGATCGATTGATTAATAGCAATATTTACTAAGTTATCTTATATTTAAACTTATACAAAAACTTAAAGTATTTCACTTATTGACTGTTTGTTGGGGATGTACTGGTAGACAAGGACACGTTGGGGCGTAGGGCGCGCTGATTATAGTCGGAAAGAAACCTGACGCCGCTGCTAGTTGCCTAAAATAAAAACGAACATGTACAGTACTATATTTGCCATGCACTGAGTCCACTTTCGATCATTGACAAAACTATCGCACAATTGTTTAGTCGCCCTTTGATTCGTATTAAGTTATATGGTAATGTGCACACTACTCGATTTTTAGTTTTGCAACTAAACAGTTGAATTGACTGCGAAACAATCGACAATCGCACAATAGTTTTGTGATAGTTTAGTCAAAGGAGTGCACCCGTTCAAAGAATAAAAATCATATTGGTATTAAAAGTGTTAGTTTTTAACCTTAAACTATTTTATATTTGAAGACCAAAATACTTTAAAAGCGGACATTAGTACTATAGGGGGTCATATTTACCTGTATTGTTGATCAAGGTGCGCCTTCTCTATTCTTTTATCTTTGGCTCTGCGGTTTTGAAACCAAATTTTGACCTGTGTTTCGCTCAGAGACAATGCTGATGCAAGCTCACATCTAAAACAATTTACACTAAGTTCTATAAAGATGTAGTGACAAAAAAAAAATCTAAGTAAAACTGTGTTAAATGTAGAACGCATAAGAAAAATTTCTTATAATACATTGCAGAGTTGCAAGCCTTATATATACCTTCTCGCTCTAGCGACGTATTCGCCTCTTGCATATTCCAGTTCGAGGCGTAAAGTCTGGTGCGCCGAGAATGTTGTACGTTGACGACGAGGTCGACTCTCTTTGCGACGTCTACGAGCCACTAAACGAATAAACAGTAAATTGTGTTAGTTAACACTAAAGAGGTAATTTTGTTGCATTTTAAAAACAAAATATTTGCTAATTTTTCTTATCAGGAGTAAAAGTCTTTCATGTTGAAAAGTTCAATGTATGCATTAGATTTAGCCTACGTCTTCTTCCAGGCTTCGCTCTACATCTAAACTTTCATATTTATAATATTAGTTAGATAAGATTTATATTTTTTAGCAAATAATACAACTAAAAACTGCGTATTCATAACCTCAAAATCAAAACATAAAATCGGAAGTGCGGACTTCCCTTTAGCCAGGCATGGCGACATATGGCGTATCAAAATTTTAGTACTTCGGTGATATGCAAGTATCGGATGGCGAAATTATGAGCGTCGGTTATTAATATGATTGTGATTCACCCCAACCGGGGCAGGGTTTCTTCACTTCCGCGGCAATATGGTGCGCAATCGGAGCTCTTACAAGCACACTTTTCTCATGCTTCAATCACTCGCCGGCGCCTACGAAACCGACGGGAATCCTTATAGTGCATCGCGTTCTTTCAATTACACCATAATATTAATGCAATATTCCAAAAAAAAATTAAAATACTAAAGTTTGAAGCGCATTCAAACTAACGTGTGTTAGACGTCGAGATTAAACGAGCCATAGCGCTTGTTTTACTCTTAATATTTCATCGAACTAGCAACATACGGAAAATTCGTTTTGTGTCTAGTCTCAACTCACTAAGCTTATTTATTTTATAAGTTCTGCGTCGGCAATAAGTCGCTTAACTTCGGGATCGTATTTGCAGTTGCATTAAGAACGTAAGAACGAATACAGACACATTTAAAATCTGAATATCGAAAACACATAGTGGTGATCCAATCTGGACAACTGGTTTACGTACGATCTCAATGATGACTAAAATAAGCGTTAAAAATACAATTTATAATGTTTTATGTTCTCCGTAAAGCGAAATTCCGACAATATTGAAGCACTATATCCGATACCACTCGTGTCCTGTCAATTTGCAATCACCGCACGGTTCATTGACTAATAGCTCTTCCGTGATATGACCATAATGGCCATAAGAATTTCGAACAAAAAATTGCGCGGCATTTGCGGTTTTATAACGTTCAAAATCTGAAGACAGGATTACGGAACAAAAGTCACTTTTTTGTTGGCTTATATGCTTATTGATTTAATATTATAATGCTAGAAATCCTTTGATAAGTAAAAGGTTACAGTAACATTTGTTTTTTGTTGTTAGCCCTTATGCGAAGACTCCATGCCTATAAACGTCCGAGTAGTGTAAAATCCGTCTTTACGGTCTTGACTCGCTAGCTACTAATTAGGACCCTAATTGCGGTATTACACTATTCTTAGTAAGGATTTAGCAGAGAAAGCGCCCTAATTGTGTATTGTAATCACAACTTAACTGCTATGAAATCTTTGGCAAAATACAAAATTACATTTTTATGAATACTTCGCATGAGCCATATCGTTATGACGTATGCGTGAGATATTGTTCTCATTGTAAACATCTATTCGCCTAATGATAGCGTTTACCACTTAATTGAAGTGAATAGAAGGTAGAAACAATATGTATTGTACAATAAGATGTTTGTTTAGACACGCAATTGTCTATAACTATTGTTTGAATTAAAAAACAATGGGAAAAAAGTCTGTTTTCTTTACTGTAACAAAAATGTTTTTCGATAAAATTAGAACATCATTAACGCATCTGTATTCCTTAAAACATAACTCAAATTATGTTATTAGACTATAACTCTCACACTCAAAGTCGTCCTTAGCGTAGATTTCATATGAGAAATCTAAACTGAAGGTCCCTTAACGAATACTCTATACGGACGTTTTAAAGCATACCCTTTTATGATAAAAATCAAAACATTTAGCCAAAAGAAATTAATCTATTGGCTTGTTATAAAGGATGTACGTTACTGTGAGAGACGTCAGCTGGGGACAGGGCTGGCATATGTAATTGGTTAACAATGAAGGTATTATCTGAATCAACGTTGTCACATTAAATCGTCACTCGCTCGGTGGATTCGAAAGTGATCGTCATTAGTCGAGCTTGAGATAGGATTTACACTCCAATTTTATTTTTATGATATGTTTATTTATCAATGTTTTTTTTATAAAATATAGTGTTTTATTCGAAATGTTATAACCATTTTTTTATTTACTAATTTTAATTTACTAAAAATTAATTTACTAATTTACTAAACTTTTTATTTACTAACAATTTATTAATCTCTTGACTACCAGTTTTATGTTTGAATACGGATTCGAAACTTCGACCTCAAGTTTCAACTTCCGTTGTTAACTTGATCAGTTTTTGTTTGTTTCAGAAAGCTAATCTTTATATTTTTTTTTAATTAATTGCAAATTTGTTGAAGGAAAGTTTATAGTGTAATATCTCAGCACGATTTTAACGATTTTATTTGAATCAAAATTACTTCTTTCATCTACCCTCTTGCTATTGCATTGTTATTGCAGATTAAAAGGCGATTGTGTTTAATCATCAATGCCAACAATACCTTAATGGGCATAGATATATTGGGGTTGCTACCCCTTAATATTCATTAGCCAAGATCCCCTAATTACAAGTCCAGTGGAGCGTCTGTCCAGTTTGATATCAATGTTCACCTGACTTGTTCGCGTTTATGTTTTGTTTTCAATAACACGGGAAAAGAAATTGATATCGCGTTGGAATCTTGCTTCACCGAACTTCAATTGCAAGCAATAATCTTACCGATATAAAATACCGCAATAAAATGTTGCCTTCGATTGAAATATAAATTAAAATAACTCATCTTGCAACGATTTGTATTATTGCGTATAACAGATTAAAACTAGCTTGCATAAAAATCTATAGTTTTAGAAAAACTAGAAAGATTTTACTGTATATCAACAGAAAACATAAATTACTTCTGTATTGATAATTTATGAATAGACTAGCTTTCACCCGCGACTTCATCCGCGTTGAATTAAAAAAAAAACAAAGTAAGTAGCCTGTGTTTTCTTTCAAATCCTCTTTATTTAAACCAAGTTTTATTAAGATCCGTTCAGCAGTTTCTATTCATCCATTCAAACTTTCACATTTATAATATTAGTAAGAATTAAGATAAAATTATGCGGTACGATATGGTAGTAATACAATTACTGCAGAACATTTTGAACCCATTCCTATTCCATTATTAAATTAAAATCAATATGATACAGTGATAATAAATAGGTTCGATGATTTAAATGCGTTGTGATTTGTGAAACAAGGCTGACATAAATTGCGGCCATTGTGGATAGAAATGTTGTTTAAAATCGGGCGCGGATCGTCCGCGCACGTGCTCGTTCCCACAGACACAATCCGCTCTCGAATTTATATTTTCAATACAATTAACCATGTTCCAATTGTAATCGCGAACATTTTTAATTTATCAAGTGTACTGTTAACAGGGAAATAAGTTTATTTCAGAGTAGATTATGACAGGAATTTAATGTTTAAATGAGTCTCCCAAGTGTGGTTAGCAACTTGGAGGCGTAACAACAATTAAATCATAAATCAATAAGTTTTGTGAGTAGGATAAGGTGATGTAAATATGAACGTAACATGTTCATTTTTACCATGATTGACAAATGGATGACAAAAATAACGTTCCTTACCACTATGAGTTTAGCATGAAAATTAATTTGCGAGTCATGTCGACTACACCAAAAGTATTGTTGTACATACTTTCACTGGTTAATTTATTCTATCAATTATAGATATCACGTTGTTATTACATTAATAATTAAATGTTTATATTCACAACTTTTCTCTCATTACTTGTTTACGTTTCAGTTTCACGGGCTGTTGTTTCGTAATAGTTATAAGAGTGGAACAATGGTGGGATTTTATTGCGGAGTTTGCGAGAACAGTGGGCACAATTTTCTCGAGCGAGCGCCTATGAAAGGGAAGCTTCGCGCGATGGCGGCCCACTCAGACGTGGTGTTATAATCGCATCAAATTCTCCCCACCATCCCCATCTCTGCTCCACCTTCCGCGTAAAACACGAAACATTTTCAAACCACCCGACAAACCATTATCATTCTATTTTTGTTAACTGCACGAGGAATGATCGTCGCGTTAATCGTTATGATATTATTAAATTGTAGAGTAAAATTAAACGTAAGACTCACATCCTTTAAAAAATAATGCAAAAAGTAAAGAAATATTAAAAACATGGAGACTCTACTTGGAAATACATACATATTACATCATACGAACGTATCTTGCATTTTCAAAAGAAATTTAAATTTAACTCATTCCACTCCATTGTAGTTTTTCCAGATTTTTCTTATTTAAGGAACCTCGAAAGCACTAGTTATATAATAATTTGTTACTCTGTATATCAGTGTTGTATAAGCGGATTTATTTATTTTAAAACTTACAAGTAAATGGAATATCGTCCATGTTTTGTACCATCCGTTCAAAGTGAAAGACAGGTTTCTTATAAAAATACAGATAAAAGTAATGCTGTTTCTATAGAATTTTCATAAAGGACCGTCCGGTAAAGAGTTGAGAGATTAGGCGGCCGTCCTCTCCGGAGCTTATCGCCCATCGCAAGTTTGTATTCAAATATATTTATTCGGATATTTTTATAGAGTGGATCCTCAGACGTCTTTGATGTCCGTATTTTATTAAGATTTGTATTATGGTTATATACTATGGCCAACACCCGCTCACTCGTTGAAAAACTGTACTTAGGAAATCTTATAGGAGTGAATCGAAAAGAAGAGAAACAGATGAAAAGCGTTGTCAACAATGTGATTGGTTTGATCCAGTGTTTGTGTGATTGTATGTCTATGCACACTAGTGTCCGTAGGTTTCCACGATCAAAATATTAAATATCCATTCAAAAACATAGTGACATCTCAAGTTTTTCGACCAAAATGAGAAGGTCCATATTATGCATAACACACACAACATTCAAAAGATATTTTACAACAGTAGAGATGGGCGTATAGGTTACGTGGAAACTGAAATAAACTGTTGACGCATATCGACAAAAAGTAAAGCTTGTTGTACTGCCCTAGTACATTACTCATATCATCGGTGGTATACATTATTATACAGAGGAAACTGAGCTGCGAGACAATTATAGCGACAGTCAGAATTGCCTATTCAGTCTTCTTTAACAGCTGTACTGTTATGTATAAAATTTTCATTAAACCATAATGATAGAATTATCCAAAAAAGAAATGCTAGACAACTGAAATAATGAAATAGGTGAATGGCAGGTGATTGAGAAACGCGTATTTGTAGAGTTTTTCGTCATTAAGGCATTTAGAGTTTTGTCTTCTCAGTTATAAGTAAATACCGTGCCGAGCCTCGTGGTTAGTAAAAATGCAATGTAAAAGGACATTGCATCGTTTTTTTATCGCAAAGTGCGGCAGAGTAATCAAGAAACAAAAAGAAGTAAAAGGCTCTAAGTCGTCGAAACACGTTAATGCAGTGATATAAAATATAATATTTTTAGCATAGATTGCCGTTAAAAGCTCAAGAAAATAGACTTATGTACTTGCTGACCTCTTTTTGACCGACTTCCCCAAAGAAGGAGGTACTCAAGTCGTCTGTATGGTTTTTTTTCTTACATTGTTTCAATAATATTAGGTAATGAAAATAATAATTGTTTTTGTATATCATTTACGGAAAACAAAATGTAATGAATTCGTTCAAACAATTAAATGTAAAATAGATAGAGCTTTTTACTTACAGAATGCAGCTAAACCTGCTCCAAATGCTAATTGCTGGTGGGGAAGTAACATTGGTCGAGGACACAAAGGCATAAGAGGAGGTGGCGCAAAAACTTGCGGGCTCCTATTCACACCTTCGCTAACTTCGACTTCTACGTCAGAACACGAATCGCTATCAGTCACTGCCTTCTTCTGTTCTATTCTTTCTTCTACTTGCGGTTGCTGAGGTTTTTCTAAGTGGCCATAAATACGAGCGAAAAATTTCCTCGGAGATGAAGGTCGGGGGGGATGAATTGAAGTGTTTTTCTCCATTTCCTGTTTCTTTAATGATTCGCTCATTATCAGAACAGATGAAGTTCTCTTTTTTAAAAGAAATATTAGCTTTTAATTATTTAACCATAATATCACTTCAAATACCAAGGTAATAACTTAAGCAAACTTTACTTATGCATTTATTGTTGTTTTAAACTTTTGCGGTCTCGCAAATTAGTTTTATTTCAAAAATTAAAATGTAATTACGACACTCGTTACGAATTTGATTAGGAAACGACACGTGTTATCCCGACCTCATAAGCACGTGGATTGCGGCCGCGTCAGGTGACTACGTCCCTCGGGAGCTTAAGCCCCGCCCAGGACGCTCGCAACCCCTAATTGAAACAGGGATACAGTGAAAAGAGGCGTTAACAGCCAATGGGTATGCTTTTCGCGATCCTAACCAACCCTCGAGGCGGGATTAAAACTCTATCTATTGTGATTGTTCATTTTATTAAGCTTTTTTCACTTCTTTTCGTCACCTTTTTAAAAGTTATCAGAACTTTATCATAGTCATAATAATTTTATAACAATTAATAGGTGAAGTAATGGGTTTTGTGATGCCCTGGGAATGTTGCTCGAGACACTCTGATATTTTAGTTCCGAAAATTAATTTTGGGGATGCATGTCAGTTCTGATGCAATGTTCAGCCGGGTTTTTTTTCGGGTATTTATTTTTGGGTGATCAAATTCATACAATAATTTAAACAAAATTATTTAGCCTGTAATGCCATAACCATAAATATTTACGTCAACTTGTGACAGACGAAATTCATTAACAACAATAAACAAATGTTATTATTAGAAAAATATTTTGATAATCTTACTAAATAATGCAAAAAAATGGAGCTTTATTAACCATTGCATGTGTGTTGTTACTTTTTGCTTTTAATTGTACATTCCCGCTTCAAAGGGTGACATCAACGCCTAAGAAACATTTGTACGCAAATCGTAAGTAATTTTTTTCAACTCTCAGTTATCAATAAGAGAAAAATCTGTATATTTATCCTTCTATTGTATATCTTGTTGCATTCACCAAGTCAGTTACGTTATTGTGTATTTTACTCCTAGAAACTTGAAGTGCTAGAGTTGTATTAGGTTATACATTTTTAATTTTCTTTTTTTAGAATCTATAAAATGTCGCAACGTGCTAGACAATGTCGACTTTCCAGATAAAGACAAAACTTTGGCAGACGATTTGGAAGAACTTATATCCAAATTTAAAAAGAACGTGAATCACAAAGAAAAAAGTCGTTTGGGATTTCGAAGGCTTTCTAGTAAAAATTTTCTAAATGAGGACGATCTACGTCATTACGAGCAATTAGTTATCATGAAGAAATATCCCTTCTTAGATATCAAAGAGTTGGAAATGAAATTTAGTCCATCAAATAAAGATAGGAGGGAGAATGTGAATTTTCATTCTAGAGTCAACATGGTACCCGAACCGAGCATCTGTGAACCCGGTGAGGATATAATCAACGTTGAGATTTCTAATAGAGGTCTGTCCGGATTTGCAATACCTACTCAACTTGTCAAGCATATAAGCACAACGGAGAAAAAGTTACTATCAACTCCAGAAACGCCTAAATTGAAATCAGAAAATTCACGTAAATTTACAAAGAAATCCACAGAGAAGAATATTTTAAAAAAGCTTAAAGATGATGTTAATCAGTTTTTAGATAAAAAGAAGAAGAACTATTATTGTTTTTCATTTGCACGTAGTTAGCAACAAAGTTAGGTCGTAATTACAAATCTTAAATATTTTATGTGCCCAAACTATGTGACATCCGAAATCGCCACTGACCGTTTAAATATAATGTTAAGGATTATGCCATCTTAATTTAATTTTCAAACTGTTCAATTCGTAGGTATCTGATCAATAAGGATTATACCCTCATGACTTGTTAATATTAATTAACTTTGAGAGCATGATTTCAATATGTAACAGTCAGCATCATCAACTTGCTCTTATCCCATATGGAGGGTCGGCACAGTATGTGCTGCTCTTCCAACCGTCTGTATCAGCCGTCATATCTGAAACCACTCCTTTCTTAAGCATATCATCTTTCACACAATCCATCCATATTTTCTTCGGTCTTCCTCTTCCTTTGTAGCCATCCACATTCAAAAGTGTTAACGTAAAAATTATTTGCGTGAATAGAACATTGGGCTGGATCTACGAATATTTTGACAGAATCGTACGTCAATCAATTGTCAAATTGAAGTTCGAATTAATGTCAAAGTAATCAGAGAAGATATTAATTTCTAGTGGGTAAAAACGAATATTTCATTTTTATCAGTTTAAATAAATTAGTTACTTGGGTGTAAATCTAATATATATTGTACTTTTTTCTCTGTGGTAATATTCTGTGAAAATGGAAACATAAATACACTGGTAGTAACTCTAAATTGCAAAGGATAACAAATTATATAAAACAGCTTAATTTACTCTACAGATTGTTATTGGGGAACACCTTATAGTATTAAAACATTACTTACTAAAGGTAAACTGATCTTCAATTTATTTTATATGTAGTTTTATAAGAAAATATACTAATAATTCTATACTACGATTTATTTCATACAATTATGTCGCGACGTTGTTATATTTGCAACAATTATATTGTAATTTTAATATGATTTGTAATATAATTATATTGTACTATTTCCAGGTTATCTAAAATGGAATTACAGTGCAAAGTCCAAAATTATGATTGGGGCAAATTAGGTCATGAGAGTAAAGTTGCTATGTTACTGTCTAGTAGTAATATGAGTGCTCAAATTGATTCTGATAAACCCTATGCTGAGTTATGGATGGGAACACATGTGAATGGGCCGTCTCTTATTATTGAAAGAAATGTACTTCTGTCTGAATATATAAAAGATAATGTGGATGCTATTGGTCCTTTAGTGCAGAAAAAATTTGGTGTATCTGTGCCCTTTCTTCTAAAGGTCCTGTCTATTAGGAAAGCTCTTTCAATACAAGCACATCCTAATAAGGTAATCTATACAACATTGTTCATCTATAATAAGATTCAGTCATCACATAGTCCTTTGTAATAAATATTTAGTATGAAAAGTTTACATGAAGGTCTCCCTTAAACCAGTTAGACAAAATGCAGCTGTTTTAGTTTAATTTCTTTCAGGAACATGCAGAACAATTGCACACACAGTTTCCTGAGATGTATAAAGACCCAAATCATAAACCAGAGCTTGCAATAGTGCTGACCCCTTTTGAAGCACTTTGTGGCTTCAGACCCATTTCAGAAATTAAGGAATTTCTTACGAGTAAGTTGAATTACCATATTTTCCATTACTATTGTCAATGTTAGGTGCTAAAACCATGTGTTTTTATTAACACATACAATAATTGAGCACTTAATTTAATAAGATCAATTTACTAGCCAATATTAAAATGTTAAACACTCATTTTCTCTACTACCTATCATCCATTACTTGCTATTAGTTTTATTCCTTCTATTTGACAATTAAAAGTTATTCAATTATACAATTTTTAGAGTATATTCACAACTTGTATTATGTATTTTCAGAATTGCCTGAACTGACTGGGATCCTATCAAAAGATTCTTTACATGGTATACTGAATTACGAAGATGGAGATTCTACATTAATACTGAAGAATGTATTTGACTCCTTGATGTCTTGTGATAAAACTATTGTTGCTAAAAGCTTGGAAGATTACTATAAAAGACTAAGTAGTGCAGGTGGGTATTAACTAGCTGTTGCTTGCGACTTCGTCCACATTAAATTTCAAAATATAGTCTATGTTAGTGATAATGTAGCTTTTTAATGGTAAAATTTATGATAGCCCATTAGTTATTGAGTTTTTTCAATGTATACAATTATTCAAATCCTTCATTTTTATAATATTACTATAGATAAAAAAAAGAAATTAAAAGATGGATGTATTTATTGCACACATACAACTTATTGAATATTGAATTACAACTGCTTTTATTCTTCTTTCAGATGAGACAGTCAAATCTGCTCTGCTATTTAATACCTTACACAAGCTTTATTCGGAGTTTCCTGGTGATGTGGGATGCTATGCACCATATTTGATGAACCTCATGCATCTTCGTCCCGGCCAAGCTATCTTTCTCAAACCAAATCTTCCACATGCATATTTAAGTGGAGGTATGTATATTAAAATTAAGGCATATAGCTTTATATATTTATAGCTTGAATTGTTGCTTAATAAAGGTTACATGTTTTAAAGCAAGTAGCCCCAAAATGCATTTGTTTACTCGCTGTTGTCCGCAAATCCGTCCATGCGGAATTACTAAAAACGTATTTAAAAAATGTCTTTTTCCAAACTATCTAAACTTTTGCATTTATAATATTAGTAAGGTAATTTAATTGAAATTAACAAACCAAAAGTGATAACCAACACATTTCCTAGTCGGCAAAAGACTAGGAAGATTTTACCAAACATTTATTTCAATGGGGGGTCATCTAAATACATTGTTTGTAATTTTTTACTATCATAGAATACAATTATACAAGCATATCATTTCCTCAAAGGCCAGCAACGCATCTGTTCCTCTGGTGTTGCGGATGTCCATGGGCGTCGTTGACCACCTTCGTGTTCACGCCGCTCGTTTGCCCCCTTTTTTTATAAAAAAAAAACAATTAAATCAAACTAATGTTATAAATGCGAAAGTTTAGATGAATGGATGTTTGTTAGAGTTGACCACCTAAATGGTTGAACAATTTTCGATAAAATTTGACATATATGTAGAACACATATTTTTTTAAACGTAGTCTCGGACGAAAGCTGATCAATATATACTTTTAAAACATGCTGTTAGTATGTATTTATTTAACAGATTGTGTGGAATGTATGGCTTGCTCGGACAATGTGGTGCGAGCCGGGCTTACCCCGAAGCACATAGATCTGCCCACCCTCACACACATGCTGGACTACAACAGCTATACTCCGCAGCAGATGCTCTTCAATCCTCAGATAGAAGATGAGAACAGCTGCATCTGGCGACCGCCTGTACCTGATTTTGCTGTTGTTAAAATTAAGGTCAGTATATTGATGGTTTCTACACTATAGTATATTTAAACCATTGAAAGACAAGTTAAATATTAATAGATTTGTATCAAACATGAATGTATGGTAGACAATTTAAATCTACATATCTTGTTAATGTTACTTTGAATTTTGGGTAGATAAATTATGCTCTTTAAAGACTGCTATAGACTGTAAAGAAATATGAACTGTCAGTTGAACTGCACTGTTAACTTAGTGTTGTTACACTGTTAATTTAGTGTTTTAAATTGATTTATATATTTATTTTGCTTTTTTACAATTTTCTTCCTGCTTCTCTGGCGACAACCATTAGTAGTTGACTTACGTCTGAATACTAAATCGAACCTTAAACAGTTCGCGTAGTTAACAGAGCTTACAATTGGCAGATATCAACATTTTAATGGCATATTAACTTTAAGGGTGGCCTTATCAATTAAGAAATTGTTACTTTAAATGTTGCAATATTCGTCTGTTAATTTTTATAATGTAACTCAGGTGTTGAATGGTGATTCTTACAATACAATAATCCGCGCCAGTCCCAGTATTATTATCTTTATATCTGGTGCGGGGGAGGCGTGCGACACCGAGCCTATCGCAGTCAAGCCAGGTACAGTATTGTTCCTGAAGGCGAGCAGACAGCTGACCGTTACACCGAACACAGACCATCTGGAGGCTTACCAAGCTATCTGCAATGTTTAAATTGTTTGTGACACTGGTATTATAGAATTACATTATGGCACGCTTTTGACAGGGGGAGGTTAGTTTTTAGAGTTACCAGTATGCAATTATTTCCCAACTTCTTTCAGTTTTCCCTTGTTAAAAAAAATCAACAGCTAATGATTTGCAAGTTAAAATCTGATTGCCCGTAGTATTTGTTTACTTATTTACAGTTTTAAGAATTCACAAGCAAAGACTAAGTACAATTTATTTATACTATTATAAAGAGGCAAGATTTGCGTTTTTGTATTTTTGTACGTATTGAGATAACTCAAAAATTACTTGGTCGATTTCCAAAATTCTTGCATCATACAAAAGCTACGTTATCACTGAGTCACCTA